ACCTGGTTTTAAATTTTAATAGATGCAATGACATAAAATTTACTGAAATCATTTATCCTTTGATAATATCAATCCTGGCATTCATTATATCAATCTATTTATCTTAAAGATTGAAGAATTAAATTAACTTGAAGATAATGGCAAAAGTGATTTACTTATTACTTTATAGAAAATTTTATGGTTACGATACCTTAAATGTATTTAGTGTAATCAAAATTTTGATCTTTTAATCATCTTTAATAGGAATAATGTTTTTTTATGATTCTAATATCCCAAATTTTTTGTCTTAACTATTTATTGATATTGGTAATCTTTTTAGCGATAGATTAAGGATTTTTGAGTGTTTTTTAGTTTAGATGCTGCAAGAAATTAGTATAATTTTTAAAGGTATTTACTTCTTATTAGTGATAAATATTTTAAATATGCTTTGCTTGGTGCTTTGTTACATCTTTATTTTTTAAAAATTTAACTGCAAAAAATATTTAAATGAAATAATACTTTCTACAAGTATATTTATCTACTATTCAATAAATGCAATATTCTCGAAAATCTTTAGATCTGTAAGTTTTTATTTAAATTAAAATAAAATAAATATTTTAAAACTTTATTTTAAAAGTTAAATTGCTAGGTGTTTGACAACTAACTTTTTGTAACTGAATATTTATCTATTTCATGTAATGAATTAAAAAATAATAATGCATATAACTTGATAGCTTTAGCATTAGTAGTTACAGCTTTACTAATATTTTATGGATATTTTGTGCTTAAAATCTACTAAAGGAGATTTAAGATAAAAACTTATCAAAATTAGATTTTATTAGGATTCTTTACCTATGAATATAAATAAAAGTATTACTTATGGGATTTAGTCAGGCTTATTTATAAAATTTTTCTTTTCTTTATCATGCAATTTTCATATTTACATACTCAGCTATAGATAGTCATGTCAATCCTTGTTTCATTAACATACACTCTGCTTACTTAGAATTGTAATTAATTTAAATATATTTTATTCAGATTATTTTTAAAACTCTTTTTAAATATCCAAGAGCAAGAATTAATTTAAAATATTCATTTATATGTAAAATTACAATTTTTGATTATTTTTTATACTTTTTTTTTAATGAAAATAAATTATTTAAACTAAAATTGTTTCTTAACATTTAAATAGTTTATCCTTATGCCAATAAGAAATTAAATGTTTTGGATTTTAGAATTTCATGCCTGACTACAATATGTTTTTGTTTAAATTCAATATAATTCAGATTGGATTAGAAAGAACTTCAACTTACATATACTATAGCTCTTGTTTGCTTAGTATTACTAACTATGGTTATAACATTTTCATAGATTTTATTTAACTATAAGTCAAAATTAGTAAAAATTATACAAATAACCCAGTACAAATCATCAAAATTTAAATTCATAGTTAAGTTATTTAATATAGATAAGTATGTAGAAAGAAATCTGAAAGCTTAAATACAATGGGAAAAATTAAGATTAATACTTTCTCATATGAAATTTATAGATTTTAAATAAAATTTTGAAAATAAAGATGCTGAAAATAAATTGATGTAATTTTATTATCATGTAAGGATTTAAACAACAAAAACAATAATTGTATAAGAATAAATATGATATAAATAAAATATTTTATTTTGTATTATTTTTAATTTTATTTAAATTGCTTTGAATATAAGAATGTAAATAAAATATTTAAATTAATTTAGCTTTATTTTTAAAATTTATATGTAAAAACTGACAGTTTTTGACTTTATTAAATTAAAACTAAATAATAATTATTTTTTTTATTTGATTATAAGCATAAAAACAAATATTATTTTAATATTCTTAAACAAGTTTTTAATCAATTTAATTTAATGTATCACATATTTTTTATTAGCTTACCTCTCTTTCCTTAATAAGTTATTAAATTATTTTCTGACATTATACTATTAAATTATTAAATGCAAAAAAAAAATGTACAAATAAAAAAACATTTTAAAAATTTAATTGCTAAATAAAATAATTATAATAGATACTTTTTTTCAAAACGTTTAAAAAATTTTAATATTTAATTAATAATGAATTTTTCTTGTTGTATAATTTTATTAAAGTACTTTTAAATATAATTTACAAAATGATAAATAAATAACTGTAAATGTAGTTTAATTGATATTGATGAATAGATATTTTATTTTTATTTGTTTTAAAATAAATAAATAATACTTCAAAAATGTTTATATAATAGAAATTAACCTTCTGACTAATATCAAGCTATTACAGTAATACCTTAAAGTGATTTTTTAAAATTAATCAATCAATTCTAAAATATAAATTTTTAAAAGTAGAAATTATTAATTAAATTGTTTTCATTTCCTAAATTCTCACTGAAAAAAGAAAATTTAAAGAAACAATTATTATTTTTTGAAATTATCTTTTCAAAATAATCTGGCTTACAAAGCTAGAAATCAAATTACGTATTTAATCTCAAAAAATATATTCACAACAAAAAATAATAAAATATACTAAGAAGTTGGTTTACAATATTTTTAATCAAATTATCTTTAATTTAGTTAAGTAAATAGATAATATTTTGTTTCTTTATTTAATTGTATGACTTATTTAATCATTTTTTACTATAATTTAATATTTTCTTAAACTTAATTAAATAGTCTCTCTCACATCTATGAAACTCTATTTATTAGCAATACTATTAAGCTAATATTTATCCTTCATTGTATGCAGTTGCAATCATTAAAATTAATGCTTTGACCAAAAAAAATAATAATGTAAGTTAGTTGATGGTAAAGAATACATTGGAAAAGAAAAGCGCTATGGATATTGTGTAATTGATGCTATTAAATATGATTCAATTGACTTTTGTAAAAGTGATTATGAGCCTGTTTGTATATCTTAAGATAGAAAAAGCTGTATAAAAGTTTAAAAAAGTGATCACATAGTAGCTATATTACATTCAGGAAATGTCTGTATAGGTCAGAATGAATTTACATCTAATTTTAATTCACCGCAAAGTAAATTGCCATTTTCATATTTTTATTGATCTGTAATATCAAGCATAATCACTAATTTGATTTCTTTTATATAAATAGAATTGAATTTTATTAAACAAGGCTTTTGCTAAGATTTGTATGGTCGAATTATTTTAGGTCAAGCAAATTAAAATGTATTTGTATTATCTTTATGCAATTATTTAGAAGGTGGATAATTTAGAAAGTGTAGATAAAAGTAAAATTCGCTTTTAATAAAAAATATCTTGTATTTCTTAATTAAGAATTATACTAAATAGAACATCCTGTTATTTAGTGGGTAAAAATAAATGCTTAGATCTAAATCAAGTGGATGTAATTTAATTAATTTGATGTCAATTTTCTTAATAGCTTGATTTTATTAAACAGGGAATTACTTCTCTTGGATTTTGCGTCTTTTAAAATTAATTCTATCTTCACAAAGTATATTGTAATGAAAGTTTATGCCAAATAAAAAACTCATAGGACTAGTACGCATGTCTTAGTTATTTGAATTCAGACATTGTTGTAATTTTAAAACATATTTTCAATCATGATACTTTAAAAATATAACAATCTTTAAATAAGGGAAAGACTATTGATAATTAGTGCATTTATCAAGGATAATATTTTCCAAAAGAAACTTTGATAAGTTGCAAAGGATAATATTGTATTTTTGAAGAAGGTTAGTATAAAAGTTGTTTGAAGACTGATGGAACAAATAATCCTTATATATATGTATTGATTTTTTAATATTAGATCTTTAATTTAGATTTTCTTTATCAAAAAGGGAGTAAGCTAAGAAGGACTTTGTCTAATTTAGATCAGAAAGAAAAAATATCCTTTTATTTTATAACTAAATACTTGCCTTTCATAGTAGATGCTTTTAATTTCAATAAAAAATACTAATTTTTTCCCATATATTAATTAAAATCTTTAGGTAATGCTTTAATGTTAATTCTTGTGTTAATTTATCTTAATAATATCCTGCTAAATTAAATGATAACACCTGTGCATAGCTAAATTCATAAAACTCAATTTAATGTTACACTTAACTTCCAGCTTGCTTGTCTTCAAACTCTACATGTCTGTAAGTGTCAAGTTCGAACTCTAACTCTGTTGTATAAATATATAAATATATAAAATGAATACATAAATAATAAAAATTTGATAATAATTTAATTTAGGGTTTAAGGACAAATGGAATGTGTGCAGTAGCAAATTAATATTATAATGGTACTACTTTTTATTAATTAAATTTATACTTCTCTTATATTTAAAACAATTTTATTTATATTATTAAAATAGATTTGTAATCATGTAGCTAAGGTTATTGTATTAAATAATCATCTGGAACAAAAGGGTGTTTTCTTTTCGATGGGTCTGACAGTGCAATTGGAATAGATAATAATGGTAATTGTGCTGATTCTAATACTATTGCGAGTAGGTAAAATATTTAATTATTTTTTTATTATTCAATAACATTTTACATGAATGTTTAAAATTTAAATAAGTAGAAATGTTTAATTAAAAAATATATTATTTAATATTTTATTTAAGGACATATATTTAAAAGAATAAAATATTTAAATGAAAACCTTAAAAAAATATTAAAACAATTCTATTTTTACAAAAAATCTAAATAATAAAGTTAATTAAATAACCTACCTATCTTTTCTTTTATTTAAGGTGTTTAGAAAGATTTTAATTTACACTTTGATAAGCGGGGTTAAAGCTTTTCTTTATATTCATTTCTGATTTTTAATAATGTTACAGTTATTAACATTTTTTAAATTTATAATAGTTGTTTTAATTCTTAAAATATTTGTAAGGATATCCAAACCGCTAAATGTACTAGAATTAATTCAAATTCTGTCTTTAATAATATTTGTATTTTAAATGGATCTTGCTATATTATGTCAAAATAATAATATGTTGGTAGAGATATTTAGTATTAGTGCTTACAAAATAAATAGACAAGTGCGAATACATTACTAAATTGCTGTGATGATATTTAAAGTGTATGCAAAACAAGTGATCTTAAGGTATGTATAATTTATGCATAAGATTCTACATACTTAGGATATATTTCTAGGACAGGAATTTGTGCATAACTTGGTGTTAAAACATCAACGAGTGGATTTGAAAGTAAATTTATTGATACTCTATTTAAAATTATATCATATTTAAATAAGGTATTACCAACTTGAATATAAACTATTGTTAAGATGATTCATACACAATCTAGCCTATAATTCCTTTATATGCAGGAAGAGATTAGTTATATTCAAGGTGCCTAAAAGCTGATTAAACTTAATACCAAAAGGTTGAATTGTGTGCAAAAGAGTAAAATAATTATTACAAGAAAATTAAGTTAATAACTTCAATTTATTTAGTTACTGTATAGCAAATAATAGTTGTAAATTGATTGGATTTGATGGAGTACTAATAGCTAAATTGTCAAACAGTTAATGTGCTTAAGCATAACAATCTGATTCTGTATAATGCGCCTTTAAAAATTATAACTGCTGCTTACAAAATTCAACATGCAATTTATTATCTAGTTCAAATCAAAATTTTTCGGTATAAATAAAATTTATCTTAAAAATCAAATAAATTTTTATATATTAAAAAAGGGAGTTGACATAAATGGAAACTGTTTATCCAGGTCATAAAGTGTTCTTTCTTCAAGTATGATTCATTTATTTAATTAATTAATTATATTTCATTCATTTATAATTTATTTTTTAGATTTATTCAAGTGTGCAGATTATCATTGCAAATATTCAACTGGTTAAGGATAATAAGCGTGTTATCTTTTAAATGGTACAGCAGGGTTAGTTGGGTCGGATTCTTCATAAAATTGCTTAGATTATAATATAAAATAAGCTACTCAGTAAATTTATATAATAAAATTTTTAATATTATTAAAAAGGGAGGAGTGAAATATTAAAAATTCTAATACCTAAATTAGTATTTTTATAATTCATGATCTCAAATCTCTAAATTTTTAGGCATTTGGCTATAACCTTCCTTCCTCTCTTCATATTTTTATTTATATTTAAATCATTTGAAAATTTTATAATATTTTATTTTGTTTATGCCAATACTATTTTTTTTTAGTTTATTTAAATTTTAAAAAGTAGATGCTATTTTAATTATTTTTTATCTAAAATTTAGATGTGCTTAATTGTCAGTTGCTTGTTTGGATAGTAATACACAAACATGTTAATAAACTGTGAATTATGGACAAGTTGGTAATGGATGCTCTTTAAACGGTTTTTGTAAAACAATATCACTTTAATTATATGTTGGTAGAGATACTAATAATTAGTGCTTAACAGTAAATTAAACAGCTTAAAGTGGTACTGTTGATAAATGTTTAAATGATCCATAAAATATTTGTTTAACAAATGACAAGAAATAATGTATCTTGTATCCTTAGTCGTCATAGTATTTAGGGTTTATTCAAAGCACTGGAATTTGTGCTTAATAAGGTTAAAAAACTTCTACTTAGGCTCTTTAAAGTAAATTTATTATTTATGATAGGTTTCAAAAATTCCATGCTTTAAAATTAAAAAATAGCTATTGTTAATTTGAACAAAGGATATTGCTAAGATAATTAATTTATAATTTAATAATTGTTACCTCCAAATGTTGGAAGAGATACAGTAAACTAATTATGCCTCTAAGAAACAACAGAGTCATCATAAATTGAATTATGTGCTCAAGGGTAAGTTTAGATTTTAAGATATTATAATAATTATTTTTTTTAACATATAGATATTGTGTTGCAAATAATAAATGCTAACCTATTGGTTTTGATAAAAAACTTATTGCAAAACTTTCAAATTAATAATGTGGTTTAGATTAAACATTCACAGCAATAGAATGTGCATATTAAAGTTTGGATGTATGTATGTTAAATTAGCAATGTTTTTGGTTATCTGCTTAGAATTTACTATATTCAGTACACTTTTTTATTTCTTATAATGTTGTTTTCAAAATAAGTTTTATAATAAGGGATAAGACAATAGCGGAAACTGCTTGTAAAGAGGCTACTTCACACCTAGTAATATTGATTATATATTTAAATTTAATAAACTTATTTTTTTTAAAGGTTTGAGAAAATGTTAATAAGACCATTGCAAAAAAATTAACTTATAACAATAAACTGCTTGCGTATATTTAGATGGGTCACCCAATTAAATTGGAATAACAGCAGATGGATTATGCTTAGATATAAATAAAAATCCAGCAATAAGGTAAAAATTATTTGAAGAAGAATATTTTGTTACTTTTATTATTTTTTGAAAATTTTAAATACATTTATTTTATACTTAATATATGAAAATAGATGTACTGTTTAGTTTAATTATATATGCTATGATAAGGACTCATAGACATGCATAAATCTCAATTAATCAACTAGAAATAATTATTGCTAATTATAGGGAATTTGCTATTAAATGAATTTGAATTAGTATATTGGTAGAGATACATATTTAAATTGTTTAACTTCAGGATAAACACCAAACACAGGATTCATTTAGAATTGTTTGGATGATCCTTAAAACATATGTTAAAAAAGCGATAAATTATAATGCATATATTATACTAACTAATAATGGAAAAGTACCTACTTAGGTTTTATAAATTCGTCTGGTTTTTGTGCATAACAAGACTAAGCAACTTCTTCTTAATAAAATAATTTTAAAGTAAACTTGAAATAGTTATTTTAATGATAAATCTTTTTATAATAATAAAAATTTAGATATTACTAATTTGGATAATAATTACTGCTAGGATAATAGCTTTGTCATAAAAAAGATATAAAGTCCTTATGTTGGTAGAGAAGTATAATATTAAAGGTGTTTAAAAGCTGATACTCCTCCAAATCAACAAGTAGATATTTGCTCTAAAGGGTAAAATTTTTTTTTTTTAAATTGAATCTTTAAGTTTTTTAAGTTATTGCATTTCGAGTAATTAATGCAAGCAAATAGGTTTTGATGGCAAATTAATATCAAAACTAGAAAATGGAAAGTGTGATATTGATCAATAATATCGTGCAATTGAATGTGCGTATGAAACTTTAGATACATGTTTATATAACGGTTAGTGTTATTGGTTAACTGAATAATACACTTTTGCATCAGTAAATTATTTATTAATTATATTTATACTTACAAAATTAATTTAGGGAGTGGATTAATATGGTAACTGTTTAGGAAGGGGTACGTTCTCACTAGGTAATTAAAATTTTATAGCAAGAAATTATTAAAATCAAATTATGCTTAAAAATAGACTTTAAGAAATGTTAATCAAATCACTGTTTTAAAATCTTACCCAATTTTTCGTAAAGCCAAGATGGAAAAGGATGCTTTCTTCTAGATGGATCTGAGGGTTAGGCAGGTATAAATTCTACTGGATAATGTTTAGCTATCAATACTTCTCCTGCTTAGAGGTAATAATAATAATACATAAATATTTGGATTTATATGTAGATTATTCATATTCATAAATAAAACTTAAAATTTTAATAGATGTACAAATAAAATCAATTCAATTTGTTACGATCCTGCTTCTTAAAAATGTTAAACTACAATAAATTATGGGTCTATAGGAAACGGCTGTATTTTTAATGGTTAATGTTATTAATTTTCAATTCAATTATACATTGGAAGAGATATATAGCTTTAATGCTTAGTTAATAACTAGATAACTAGTTAAGTAGATGTTTGCTTTAATGATACGAATAATGTTTGCCTTAGCAAAAATTATAGCCAACAGTTATGTACATTATATATACAGTCCTAAAAATACTTAGGATATATTTCAGAAAATAAAATGTGCGCTATTTAAGACAATATTGCATATTAATAGGGTTAACTGGCCAGTAATTATTTTATATATTTAATAAAAATTTAAACATTATTATTTTAGACTTAATAAACTTAAAATCTAACTTTTGCTAAGATGCTGATGGATATATCCGAGCCTTAAGTAGCAGTCAATATGTTGGAGTAAGTAACCAAAATTACAAATGCTTAACTGTAAACTAAACCTCTACTAGCAATATTATTTAATGTTATATAGGGTAATTTCAAGTCAAAGTAATAAAATAAAAATTAATTTTAACTAAACAAAATAGATTTTGTATGAATGTAAATTATTGTTAAGCTTATGATGATACATACATTGGAAAAGCAAGTAACTAAACCTGTCTAAAAGTCAAATAACCTTAAAGTATTGAATGTGCAGTAAATTATTGTATAGAGCCAAATACATAAAGTTGTTAGTTAATAAACGATAATGACCCAAATTTTGCTGTAAAATAAAATAAAAATCTAAAAATGATAACCATTTTAATAAATTATTTTAGGGTGTTTAGGGCAATTATAAATGTGCAGTTATTGGCCAATATTATTCATGTAACATTATAAACTTTAAATAATTAAAAGAAACTATAATTTTTTTAAATAGAAATATTGTAATGTTCAAGCAAATATTGCCTTGATTATTAAGTTCCAGGTGATCCTACCACTTAATCAGGATGCTTTCTTTGGGATGCATCTATAAAAAGAATAGGGGTGGATAAAAATGGATATTGCCTTTATTAGGACTAGCCTAATGCAATCAAGTAATAACTATTTAATAAGTTGAAATTAACTAAAATAAATCATAAAAAAAGATGTATGCCAGGATAGTTTTGCTTAAATACTAGTTTTGGAAATTCATGCCAGTCTCTGTTATTGTAATTAGATTAAGATAGATTTGCAAGAGAAAAAGAAACTGGTAAATGCCTTCCTTATTTTGATCCAAAATATGATGGAGGTGATATTGAAACTTGCGTAGATGGTAGCTGCTTTTACACAGATCAAATTTCAAAGAAAAATTTTTGTCTTTCTTAAGGTATCTATGCTTTGGGAGATTTTATTGTTGGAATCGACACTTTAGGTTAGTGTTTAATTAAAAACCAAATAACGACAGTTTGTAAATTTAAAGAAATTAATAGCCAATATTTTAAATTATTTTTATCAAAAAAGAAATAAAATCATGTTTAGGCTTGACATATTGTGCTCTTGATATTGGGTAAGTTATATAAAATATTTTTGCATTTATTAATAAAAATCTTAATTTTTAATTACTTATTTATTTTGTTGAATGTAAGAGGGGGGAATTACAAATGTCAAAAGCTTCAGTTAAGTGACCCTTAATATCCAAATCTAGCTTATTAAGCAAAAAATATTAACTAAACTTGTTAAGGTCTTAACAAAGGTACTTAAAAAGCATAAACTTTATCTTAACAAGATTTTATATAAAAAAGAAAATAGTATTGGATGTATAGACGGTTTATATTGTATCAATCAATAAACCAATAATAAATGCGAAGTAATGGACTCTAGTGACCCAAATAAAATAGGCAGAAACTTTTTTAACCAATAATGTCTTCCATAAGGAGCTTATGTTGCTATAATTTGCTAGAATGAATATTGTATATCTTCTGGAGCATGCTTACCTTTATCAGATAAAAATCCAGGCTAAGAAAATTTAACATAATTATGTTTAAAAGAATAATCATAAGGTTAAAATGGAGCCTCTAATTGTTATAAAAATGGGTAATGCTATTGCAAATCTTTTGTTTATAAATAATAAAAGTGGAAATTATAATGTATTTTATATAATAGGTATTGTTTATTGACAGATCCTGTAACAAATAAATCATCTTGTTACAAATTAGACTTTAGTAATCCAAATACTATTGGTAAATTATAATAATAATAATTATCGAAATTATAAATATTTATCTACAAATTAATATCTAGGTATATAAAAAGACACTTAATTATGCTTATAGATGGGATAACCCTAAGCAGTAAATGTTAATTTTAAATTCAATATTTATAAATTTATATTCATAATAAGATAATGTGTGCAATCGAAAAATATTGCTTAGATCAAACAACAAATACCTGCTAGTTAATTGATACAACTAAAGGGATGTGCATTGATAAAAATGGTTTTTGTGTGTAAAATGGATCCTGTTATAATTGTGAACTAAATTAATGCTTGTCTTAATCAATTAAAAATACATGCTAAGATCTTTTATCACCATCAATTATATATTGCAAGGATATTAAAGGTTGATATTATTTTAGATTATAAAAAAACATACTGAATTTTTGAATTATAGAATAATTTTTTCAAATTTAATTTAAAGCAAAAACAAAATGGTGAAAACAAAACTTTTTATCTAAATATTTTAATTAATTTATAAAATAATTTTATTTATCTAAAAATTAGGATATTGCTAATATCTAGATTCTGGCCTTTGCGATATCTGTCCTGATAATTACTGCTTAATTAATAAAATATGTCTAACTTAAAAAAACTTATTAAAATTAATTAATAATGGATAGTGTTTTGAACAAATCAAAAAGTTAAAAATCTGTGTAATTTAAAGTTTAAATATACCAAACTAGGTTGGAAATATGAATTATATGAACAATTAAAGCTTTTGTTAAGATATATCAATTAATAATAATAAATGTTTATCATGTCCTATGTACTTTATAAATCCAGGAGATTAAAAATGCTACAGTTTAGAATAAAAATTAGAACATTCACCTGATCCTTAATAAGTATATTTTCAAATGCAATTAATTTATGTTAAATAAGACTGTTATGATTAAAACTATTGTCTAGTAGACTAATCTCTCAAGTGTCCATTAGGGTATTATTATTATTTTAAAATTTAAATTAAATTTATTGATGATAAATATAATAATTTAAAATCAATTAGTTGTTATTCATGCAACTCTCTTTCTTTCTGTACTTAATGTATTGAAGGTTACTTTTTATATCAAGAATCCAAAACAAAATCAGTTTGCATAAAATGCTTCAATCAGCAGCCTCCTTATTAAGATTTAAATTTAAGTCCTTATTATAAATAAACTCCTACTTATTAATGCCTGGACTGCTCATCAGAATATTCTTTATGGTATGTGCTATAACAAAATTTAAAAATAGTATTTATTTCAAATTATTTAAAAAGGTAGTAGAACCAATCCTAATATAAAACATGCTAGAATTATATTTTATAATTAGATTAAAATTTACAAGTTGTATTTTCAAAGTATTAGTCAATGAACTTCCTTGTTTAATCAACATCAGGCTCATATAGCATTGTTCAATATTAGTCTATGCTATGTAAATATAAAAAAATAATAAAATATTAATATCTTTTAAATAATAGGTCCAGAAGGATGCTTTTAATGTATACAAGAATCTAATTCAAAAGCAACTTGTATCAAATGTTAAGTTTAGTATGTTTAAAATGGAGGTATTTGTGAAAAATGCCCTGATAATTGTAATACCTGTTAATATGCAGTAATTATAAATGGAATAGCTGTATTTAAAAGCTAAATAAACCTTAATCAAATGAATGGATTTTCATTTGTGAAAATATGCTTAGAATGTAAACCTAAATACCTTATTTCATATGATCTATTATCATGTGTTTAATGCAGTTAAAATTGTGATAAATGCTAATATGGTAATATTTATTTAAATTATAGAAATCATAAAAAAATAAAATGCTTAAATATTTTGTAAAACTTCCAAAAAAATTATTACTTTTTCTATATTTTCAAGCAAAGATAACTTTTTTTAAAATTTTTATTTTATTTGACTCTCTAAATCATCAAAAATATTCTTAATGATTAATTATATTATAAATAAATTTATTTAAAAATAATTTAATAATTTGTGAAAATAAATTTTTAAAAAATAGAAAATTAAGATGAGGTTCTAAATAATAATATAGATTAACTAACTGCTTTATCTTATTACTAGTTTCTAACAAAAAATTACATAAAAAAGTGTATGTAATGCCCTTAAGGATACTTTGTTTCCTTTGATGGTAATATTATATTTTAAATATTTTGTTTAAAGTTTTTTTAATAATTTAGGCTAGTCTTGTGAGTAATAAGCACTAAATTGCGATTATAACACTTTTAAAATAGTATAGTAGGGTACATAGACTTATGATTTAACAGAAAATATTTGGTCATTTGTAGATGGTTCATAAAAAAATATAGGTATTAGCAAAATTTGTAAAAGTTGTTCTTATGGGTACATATTAGCAAGTGATGAAAGTAATTGTGAATATGGATGTTAATTGTAATCTCAGCAATTCATGTGCAATAATTGTTTTACTACTTAATCTCTTAAAGTTCAATGCTAGTTTTGTAGTAATGGATAAATATTAAACCAAGCTTTGGTCCCCCCAAGATGCTAAGATGACCTTTGTAAAAACAATGTAGATTAATTCGTTAAAATTTAAAATAATTTTTCATACCTTATTTATAAATTAAGATTTTTGGATGCTCAGAGTGCTATAAATATTTAGACTTGAGTTTAAATTTAAACAATTAAGTTTATTAATGTACGAAATGCTAAGATGAACTAAGTATTCCATCTATCTATGGATGCATTAAATGTCCATAAGGATGCTCCAGATGCTATGAAGGTGAATTTTTAAATATATATTGACAAAATATGACATTTATTATAATTTATAAACAAGGTACAAATACATTTAACTTCACATCATAATTAATATATAAAAGAAAACCAATCACTGTTTAAGATAGATTAGATTATAAGAGTAAAAACTATAAACTGATATGTACAGAATGTTAAGATGGGTATTACTTTGATTAAAAATTGAAATAATGTATTTTAATTTAATGTGGATTAAACTGCCAAAAATGTATCATAATAAATAAATAACCTTAATGCATTTAGTGCAACTATGATAAATTAATTAATTAAATTACTTCATTGTAATATTTTATTGGTAGGTTCTATTATAAATAAAATTAAATAGATAATCCAAAATAAATGATAACATTAACTTCTTCTGGTGATGATTGCTAAATTTGTCCATTACTGTAATTTTATAATTTTATATTTATTTATTTGATTATTATTTTAAATAAAGTTGCCGAAACATGTGTAAACAAAAGCAATGTCAGTTAGAATCCATTATATATATATGATGCTTAATGCTTATCATGCAAAAAAACTTTAGATAAAAGCTCTTTATTATAAAATTATAGTATAACATATGATAAATCAAGAAGGAAATGCTACTTATGCTAAAAATCAGAATAGGGTTGCTACTATAAGAAGTAAAAAATAATCTATGCATAATGCTTAAGTCTAAATAGTAGATTAGGCAATGGCTCATAAAAAGAACCAATTAACTTCAATCGTTTAAATGAAGTTAATTTAAACTAATTTATCATAAATGAGCTAGATTTTGATCAAGCAGTTATTTTTTATAATGAATTATAAGTTAAAGAGTTGGAGGTTTTATTAATATTTGTTGATAACATTTGTTAAGATCTAAAACCTCAAAACTTTACAATTACTTTAAAGGAGAAATTTAGAACTCTTTCAGCTATCCTAAATATAACAACACTTTACTCGAATTTTACTGTGGATTTCTAGTAATAAGGTGTTTTTAATATATAAGGTTTTGACAAAATTTTTATTTAAAATGTAATTTTCTAACAGTAAAAAAGTGATAATAAGTTTGGAATAAGTATTAAAGATGATTCTTTAAATACTTTTTAACTTATAAACTGTTAATTCCACCAATAAGAATTAATACAAAATAAACGTTTATTATTTTTGGATATTTCATCGATTTAGTAAACAAGCATAACATTAGAATAAGTTAATTTTTAAAACATTTTGGTGTTAGATCAGAAGCCTCTAATAAATATTCTTAACTCTTTATAAAATTCTTAATTATATCTTAGGATAATCTCAGCTACTTTATTTAATGTAAATTTTCATTTTTAAAATAATTCATTTTTTTAAGTTTTATAAAATATTTTAATATTAACACAAATTTTTTTTCAATAAAAAAAAATTATTAATCTTGACCACTCCTTCTTATAAAACTATTTATATAATATTATTTAAAAAAGATTTTTTTATTGGTAAATTAAAAATTAATTTAATTTAAAATTTTTAGGTATAATTTAATTAGGCAAATCTAATTTAAATAAATATGTAATCTACATAAGTTGAAATATAAAACTTACTAATTAAATCATCAGTTTTTGATTAATAAACGCTCTTTGTAGATGTTCGACAAAATAATTCACCAAATCAAAATATAAGTATATATCTTCAAAATATTACTTTTGAGAATAGCTCCTTTTACCATAGATCTTAAATTCTGAATTCAAATATCTTAAATTCTTTAACAATTGTTAGCTTAACCTTCAACTAATGTACGTTTTATTAATCACAAAAAGAGCTTATACCTTTAATTATATCTAATAACTATAATGTAAGTAAAATTTTTATAGTGTCAAATAATGTTACTAACTACAACTTTATGCAGTAGTAAGATAGTAAATTGAATATTACAAATTAAACTTCATACTTTGAATAAATTCAAGTTTTAGATAACATTGTGACAATTGATAGCTACTTTTTATTAGATTTTTAGACTGATAAAAATTCTAATACAACTTTAAATGGAATAATAATTAAAAGAAATCAATTTTATTCTGAGTTAACTTCAATAATAATTCAACTTGAGAAATAAAATACAATTTAAGTAAATAATATTTCTTTAGCAGATAATCAAGAATTTTTATTCCTTTAAACTGAAAATATTTTTAACGTCACAATTAGCTAAATAAATTTATAATAAACTGACTAATAATTTTTGACTCCATAAATATGTTACTTAAAATAAACTATCTAGCAAATAAACATTAAAGACATAGTCTAATAAGGTATAAAAGTATCTAAAGTATTATTTATCTTAGAAAATAATATAATTTAATAGCAAATTGCTCCTCTTGAAATTGTAATAACTAATGTTATCAGCAATTAAATAACATTAGTATTCAAAGATAATAAAGAAGATTTATCTATTTTTTCTATAATTTCTAAGTTAATCAGCAACATATAAATTCAAAATGTATAGTTTTCTGGGTTTTAAGCTGATATTTTGAATAAAAAAGTAATCATTTTGGATATAATAAATTTTATATTTAAATATTTTTTGTAAATAGTCTATTTTAGGGAAAGTATCCTAAGGTTTTTACTTTAATGCTCCTACTCTAGCTGTGGACCTTTATAATTCTAGTTTTAATGAAATGGATGTTTAAAGTTAATTTGGTTGGATTAATGGATAAATTCTTTCAATAAATATAAGATATTGTAACTTTACTAATTAATAGAGTTATCTTAACATATAAACTAGTAGAAAAGGTGGGTTTTTTAATGTTTTAAGTAAAGTACTTCATATCTCTAAGTCTAAATTTATTAATGTTAATGCATAAATTGGAGGAGCAGTTTATTGGACAGCATAAAATAAAGGTAGTTTTTCATCAATAGAGAGCGAATATTTAAGCAACATAGCTTTTAGTAGTGATGACTTAGAGACTCAAGGTGGAGCAATATTTATTAATGGAAGATAATCTTAAGGTTTTGATGGATATATATTCAAATCTAATTTTTCTAATAACATTGCATTTAACCAAGGAGGGGCTATATAGATCTAACCTTCTGTTTTTTTTAAAACTGCCATTACAATTAAAATGAGTCATTTTATTAATAACTTCTCTATATACAGAGGAAGTAGTATTAACATACAAAATTAATCTAATTCGAAATCTTATATTATATTAAGTAGTTTAGTTATTACTAGTTAAACTAAATATTTTATAGAAGTAATTGAGATCCTTTAAAACATTATTCGGAAATAAGTTTGGTTATAAATTTACTCAGTTGATTCTTCATTAATTAATATACAAAAAGCTCATGATGTTGAAATCATAAATTCGACATTTTAGTTATCAACAGACACATCATATGATTTCTAAAACTCTGAGAATCTGAAAATTATTTTTTAAAAAATTTTGATAATTTAAGAAGCTATTAACTTTTATGATGTATAAAATATTTATTAGGATAGTTACTTTTTAAGTAATATGATTACAGTTACAGGCATAGAGCATTTTTATATCTATGATACTTTAATTTAAAACAATAGAAATATTTTAGATAATATGCATAATCAAAGATAAGATATATAAAGCGCAGTATTTTATAATAGCTAGAACAGCTAAATTTATAAATTAAATGTAGCTAATAACATATGTTAATATTGTGTTTTTGGGACAATTTAAATAGCAGGTTCAAAATTAGAAATCTTAAATTCTACTTTTAATAACAATATAGCATATAATGGACCAGGATTATATTTAGAATAAACTTAATAATACTTTGCAAACTCAATTAATGTATAATAAGTGTTTTTAGATACGTTAATAATCATTAATTCTACTTTCATTAATAACTAAGCAAACTTAAACGGAGGAGCGATATACCTAAAATAATCTAGTATGTTTATTTATGAAACTATCTTTGAGTAAAATAAAGCTAGCTAATATGGTGGAGCTATTTTTTTAGAAAATACATAAAAGAATATTTTAATAAATTTAATTAATTTAAGTAACTGTACATTCACTTAAAACTAAGCAAGTTATGGAGGAGCATTAGGGTCAACCACAGGATAAAGAGTTAATAGATTTTCAAATAATACATATTAAAATAATAAGGCTTCTTAATATGGGGACAACATTTAAACTTCACCAACAAAATTTAGTGCTTCTGTAAATGGCAAGCGTTCATCAGACTCAAATATCTTATAAATATAAAATCATTTTGGGGGGTATATTAAGGTAAAAACTTTTGATTATAATTTAATTTCATTTATAAAATTTAAATATTAAAAATGTTAAATTAATTTTTTATAAATATTTAACCTTCTTAAATAAAATATTTTTAATATATAAAGGAAGATATAATTTTAAGATTGTGTAGTGATTAGAATCAAGAAATTTTGAATATTCCTAAATAGAGCTTTCTTTAAATAACCATATTAGAAGGAAATGGCTACTTAAATTCAAATAAAATTTTAAGTTCAAATGGTGAATTTAATTTAACTCAGTAAATAAAAGTTTATGGAAACTTTAATTAATAACTTAAGCTCTAAATTACAAGCGATTTAATTCAAATTCCCATTTTCAATTCAAGCTAATACATAATTGGTTATAGTAATTATTCGTTAATTATTGTTATAGATATGGCTCAAAATTGCTTAATTGGCTAGACACCAAAAAAATTTTAATAAAAATATGATTAATGTTAAGACTGTAAAGATACTAAATATAGCTTTAGTATAACAAATTAATGTTAATCGTGCCCTGATTTGTCAGTTAAATGTTATAGAGATAAGATCTTTTTACCTTCAAATTTATGGAGAGTTAATCAATAATCAATCGTTTTATACCCATGTAAAAATTGTGTAGGTGACATTGAAATAAGTTAAATAATATAAACTGGCTAACTTTCACGCTAACTTTCACTTAAGCACGATGATATGAATTATTATTGCAAATAAGGTAATTTTTTTCACTTATTAACTTATTGTTATTTTTGTATATAAATTAGGATATGTAGGAGCACTTTGCGAAGATTGTGATAGAAGTGGAGAATATTGGGGTGAAGCTTATTACATGAAATTAGATTAAAAATGTTCAAAGTAATTAATTTGATGAATATTTTTTATTTTTTACAAAATCTATTTTAAATTCTCATAGATGCAGTGACATAAAATTTACAGAAATCATTTATCCTTTGATAATATCAATCCTTGCATTGATTATATCAATCTATTTATCTTAAAGATTGAAGAATTAAATTAACTAGAAGATAACAGCAAAAGTGATTTACTTAATACTTTATAAAAAATTTTATGGTTATGATACCTTTAATGTTTTTAGTATAATCAAAATTTTGATGTTTTAATCATCTTTAATAGGAATAATGTTTTTTTATGATTCTAATATCCCAAATTTTGTGTCTTAACTATTTATTGATATTGGTAATCTTTTTAGCGATAGATTAAGGATTTCTGAGTGCTTTTTAGTTTAGATCCTGCAATAAATTAGTATAATTTTTAAAGGTATTTACTTCTTATTAGTGATAAATATTTTAAATATGCTATGCTTGGTGCTTTGTTACATCTTTATTTTTAAAAAATTTAACTGCAAAAAATATTTAAATGAAATAATACTTTCTACAAGTATATTTGTCTACTATTCAATAAATGCAATATTCTCTAAAATCTTTAGATCTGTAAGTTTTTATTTTTTTTTAAACAAAATAAATATTTTAATTCTCTTTTTTTAAAGTTAAATTGCTAGGTGTTTGATAACTAACTTTTTGTAACTGAGTATTTATCTATCTCATGTAATGAATTATATAATGATAATATATATAACTTGATAGCTTTAGCATTAGTAGTTACAGCTTTACTAATAATTTATGGATATTTTGTGCTTAAAATCTACTAAAGGAGATTTACGAGAAAAACTTATCAAAATTAGATTTTATTTGGATTCTTTACTTATGAATATAAATAATAGCATCACTTATGGGATTTAGTCAGGCTAATTTATAAAATGTTTCTTTTCTTTATCATGCAATTTTCATATTTACCTACTCATCTATAGTTAGTCATGTCAATCCTTGCGTCGTTAACATACACTCTTTTAACTTAGAATTGTAATTATTTTAAATATCTTTAATTTAGTTTATTTTTAAAACTCTTTTTAAAAATCTAATTAATTTAAAATATTCATTTTTTTTGTAAAATTACAATTTTGGATTATTTTTCTAAATTATAAATATATATTTTTAATAATTAATATAAATTATTTAAACTAAAATTGTTTTCAACATTTTAATAGTTTATCCTTATGCCAATAAGAAATTAAATGTTTTGGATTTTAGAATTTCATGCCTTACTACAATATGTTTTTGTTTGAATTCAATATAATTCAGATTGGATTAGAAAGAGCTTCAACTTACATATACTGTAGCTCTTGTTTGCTTGGTGTTACTGATTATGGTTATAACATTTTCATAGATTTTGTTTAACTTTAAGCTAAAATTAGTAAAAACTATATAAATAATGCAGGACAAATCATCAAAATTCAAATTCATAGTTAAGTTATTTAATATGGATAAGTATATAGAAAGAAGTTTGAAAGCTTAAATACTATGGGAAAAATTAAGAAAAATACTTTCAAATATGAATTTGAAAAATTTGAAATAATATTTTGAGGATAAAGATGTTAAAGATAAATTGAAGTAATTTTATAAAGTAAAAAATTAAATAACATATAAAATAAGTAATTAGGATTAGGCCTAAATTTGATAAATAAAATATTTTATTTTGTATTGTTTTTAATTTTGTTTTAATCACAATTAATATAAGAATTTAAAAATAATATTTAAATTAATTTAGCTTTCATTTTAGAATTTATAAGTAAAAACTGACAGCTTTTGACTTTATTAAATCAAAACTTAAAAATACTTATTTGTTTTTAATTGATTATAAGCATAAAAACAAATATTATTTTAGTATTCTTAAACAAGTTTTTAATCTATTTAATTTAATTTATCACATTTTTTTATTAGCTTACCTCTCTTCCCTTAATAAACATTTTCTGGTATTATGATATTAAAATGTACAAATAAAAAAACAAGTTAAAAATTTAACTTCTTAATAAAATAATGATAAAAGATGCTGATACTCAAAATATTTTTAAAATTTTAATATTTAATTAATGAATTATAGTTGTTGGATAAATTATAAATGTAGTTTAATTGATATTAATGATTAAATATTTTATTTTTATTAGTTTTAAAATAAATAAATTATTTTTTTTTTAAATTTAACAAACTAATTTATTTTTTTATGAAGATTAAAATTATGAATTATTAATTATAAATTACCTACTAAATAATAATAGAGAATTAATATTTAATATATTTTTAAATAAAACTTATTTTTTATTAAGATGCATACATTTTTTAATTAAGATGTTTAAATTTTAGATAAAAAACAGATTAATTATGGATAGATCTTAATTAAAGTAAATACTGTAAAATACTTAAAATAAGTAAATGAGGTTTTATAATTGAATACTTATTACATGATTGTATAAATAAATAACTAAATCTAAAATTATAAATTTAATTTAAAATTAATTAAAGAAGGATTGCACTAATAGATTTAAAAATTTGTAATTTATTTTTTTATTCTAATTATAACTTTTACAAAGTTAAGTTCTTACATACGCATTTACAGGAATATAATGCCTGAAAGCGATTTTTATAATAAATCAATTCAAAAGTATAAATTTATTTTATATAGTAGAAATTATTATTAAAGAAAGAAGTACATTTTTTAATTTTATTTATAGACTACAAAAATTAAATATTTTTCATTACATAAAGTTTCTTTTTTAAAAAAATATTTTAAGAAATAATTATTATTAATAAAAATATCTTATAAAAATAATTGAAATGGTTTACAAATTAAGAATTAATATTACGTATTCAATTTTTAAAAATCTATTAAAGACGAAAAATATACTTAGAAGTTGGCTTACATTATTTTTAATTAAAGCATGCTCTACTTTAGTTAAATTAATAAATAATATTTTTTTTCTTTAGTTCGTTTTATGATCAATTTAATTTCATATGACGACTATATTTTAATAATTTCAAAAACTTAACTAAAAAGTCGAATATCAATGAAACTTTATTTATTTACAATACTATTAAGCTAATATTTATCCATAATCATATGCAGTTGCAATCAAGAAAATTAATGCTTTGACCAAAAATAGTAAACATGTAAGTTGGTTGATGGTAAAGAACATATTGGAAAAGAAAAGCATTATGGATATTGTGTATTTGATGCTATCAAATATGAGTTGATTGACTTTTGTAAAAGTGATTATGAACCTGTTTGTATGTCTTAAGATAGAAAAAGCTGTATAAAAGTTTAAAATAGCGATCACATAGTAGCTATATTATATTCAGGAAATGTCTGTGTAGGTCTGAGAGAATATACATCTAATTTTAATTTACCACAAAGTAAAATTACCATTTACCTGAGCTTCAATATCGCGCATAATCACAAATATATTTTTTTTATATAAATAGAATTAAAATATATTAAACAGGGGTTTTGTTAGGATTTTAATGGTCAAATTAAATTAGGTCAAGCAATATAAAGTGTATCATCATCATTTTTATGTAATAATTTAGAAGGTGAAAAATTTAATAAATGCAGACAAAAGTAAAATTAACTTTCTAGAAATCATTTCTTGTATTTCTTAATTAAAAATTAATTAAAATAGAAAATCTTGCTATTTGGTGGTTACAAATAAATGCATTGATATAAATTAAGTGGATGTAATTAAATTAATTAGATGTTCTTTTTCTTAATAGTTTGATTTGTTAAACAGGGAATTACTTCTAATGGATTTTGCGTCTTTTAAAATGAACTGTATCTTGACAAAGTTTTTTGCAATGAAAGTTTATGCCAAATAAAAAACTCATAAAACTAGTATTCTTGTATAAGTTATTTTAATTCAGACATAGCTGTAATTTTGAAACACATTTTCAATCAAGATATTTTTAAAATATAACAATCTTTTAAATAAGGGAAAGACTGGCGATAATTACTGCATTTACCAGGGATAGTATTTTCCAAAAGAAACTTTGATAAATTGCAAGTAATAATATTGTATTTTTTAAGATAATGAATAAAAAAGTTGTTTGAAGATTGATAGAACAAATAATCCTTAGATATATGTATGGATTTTTAATATTTAATCTACAATTTAGCTTTTGTTTATTAAATAGGGAGTCAACTAAGAAGGATTTTGTCTAATTTAGATCAAAAAGAAAAAAATTTCTTTTATTTTATAATAAAATACTTGCCTTTCATCGTAGATGCATTTAATTTCAATAAAAAACACTAATTTAATCCCATAAATTAATTAATATTTTATAGGGATTGCTTTTTTAAAAACTCTTGTGTTAAAATGTCTTCTAAAAATCCTGCTAAATTAATTGATAACACCTGTGCATAATTAAATACATAAAACTCAGTTAAATGCTATACTTAATTTCCAGCTTGCTTATCCACAAGCTCTACATGCTTGGAAGTGTCAAGCTCAAATCCTAACTCTGTTGTATAAACAAATAAATATAAATTTATAGAATGAGTATATAAATAATAAAAAATTGGTAATAATTTAATTTTAGGGTTTAAGGACAAATGAAGAGTGTGCTGTAGCAAATTAATATTATAGTGGTACTACTTTTTACTCATTAAATTTATACTACTCTTATATTTAAGATAATTTTATTTATATTAATTATAACAGATTTGTAAAAATGTAGTAAAGATTATTGCATTAAATAGTCATCTGGAAAAAAAGGGTGTTTTGTTTTAGACGGATCTGAGAATGCAATTGGAATTGACTAAAATGGCAATTGTGTTGATTCTAAAACAGTTGCGACTAGGTAAAAGAATTTAATTATTTTTTTGTTTTTTAAAGAACATTTATCTTTGGACACTTTAAATTTAGATTTTATGTAAAAATATTATATTTAATTTATCTAAATATTTTTTTTTTATGCATATAATATTCTAATTAAAATTTTAAAAGAATATTTAAAAATTTCAATTTTTGAACGTTGTTTTTTTCCTTTTAATTTTAAAAATAATTTAAATTAAACCTTCCTCTCTTCATATTTTTATTTTTTATTTAATCATCAATGAAAATTTTAAGAATGATACTATAACTATTTTTTATTAAACACTTAGATGTGCTTAGTTGCCAGTCGTTTGTTTTGATAGTATTACATAAACATGCTAATAAACTGTAAATTATGGATCAGTTGATAATGGATGTTCTTTAAATGGTTAATGTTTCTAAATGTCACCTAACTTGTATGTAGGTAGAGATACTAATAATTAGTGCTTTAAAATAAATAGTACTCCTTTAAGTGGTACTGTTAAAAAATGTTTTAACGATCCATTAACTATTTGTTTAACAAGTGACAATAAATAATGTATCATATATACTAACTCCTCATAGTATTTAGGATATATTTAAAGTACAGGAATTTGTGCTTAAAATGGTTAAAAAACTTCTAATTAGGCTCTGTAAAGTAAATATTATAATTTATAGTTGGTTTAAAAAGTTCAACACCTTAAAAAATAAAAAATAGTTATTGTTAACTTAAACTAAGGTTATTGCTAAGATAGTTAATTTAAAATTTAAAAATTATTAAATCCATATGTTGGAAGAGATTCAGTAAACTAATTATGCCTCTAGTAATCAACACAGTCTTCATAAATTGAATTTTGCGTTTAAGGGTAAGTTTACATGTTAAAAAATATAATAAATTATTTTTTTAATGAATAGATATTGTGTTGCAAATAATAAATGCTAACCTGTTGGTTTTGATAAAAAACTTATTGCAAAACTTTCAAATTAGCAATGTGGCTTAGATTAAATACCCGGTGCAATAGAATGTGCATTTTAAAGTTTGGATGTATGTATGCTAAATTAGAAATGTTATTGGTTATCTGTTTAGAATGTTCTATATTCAGTATACTTTTTTATTAATAATTGTATATTTTTAAAATAAACTTTACAATAAGGGATAAGATACTAGTGGAAACTGCTTGAAAAGAGGCTAATTCACATAAAGTAATATAGATTATATATTTAATTGTAATAAATTATTTTATTGATAGGAATAAGAAAATGTTAATAAAACCATTGCTAGACAATTAATTCAGACAGTTATATTGCTTGTTTATACTTAGATGGGTCAACAAAATAAGTTGGAATAGCAGCAAATGGGTTGTGTTTAGATATAAACTAAGCTCCAGCAATAAGGTATAAATTATTTGAAGAATAATATCTTGTTATTTTTAAGATTTTTTGAAAATATTAAATAAATTTATTTAATACTTAATATAATAAAATAGATGTACTGACTAGGTTAATTATATTTGCTATGATCAGGACACAAAGACATGCATATGTATCAATTTACCATCTAGAATTAATTATTGCAAATTTTAAGGAACTTGTTATTAAATGAATTTGAATTAGTATGTTGGTAGAGATGCAAATTTTAACTGTTTAACTTCTGGAAAAACTCCAAGTATAGGATTAGTTTAGAATTGTTTAAATGATCCTTAAAACATATGTTAAAAAAGTGATTAATTATAATGCATATATTATACTAACAAATAATGGAAAAATACCTACTTAGGTTTTATAAATTCATCTGGTTATTGTGCGTAAGAAAACTAAGCAACTTCATCTTTATAAAAATAATTTGAAAGTAAATTTGAAATAATTATTTTAATGATAAATCTTTTTTAATAATAATAAAAACTTAGTTATCACTAATTTTGATAGTAATTATTGCTAGGATGATAGCTATATCATTAGAAAGATTAACACTTCATATGGTGGTAGAGAAGTGAAATATTAAAGGTGTCTAAAAGCTTTTAATTTACCAATTTCCTAAATAGATTTTTGCTTTAAAGGGTAAAAATTTTTATTTTTGTTTTGGAATCTTTAAGCTTTTTTAGTTATTGCATTTAGAGTAATGAATGCAAGCAAATAGGTTTTGACGGTAAACTAATATCAAAACTATAGAATGGATAATGTGCTATTGATCGATAATACCCTGCTGTTGAGTGTGCATATAATACTTTAGATACATGTTTATATAATAATATGTGCTATTGGTTAACTGAATAAGACGCTTTTGCATCAGTAAAATTATTTATTAATTATATTAATACTTACAAAATTAAATTAGGGAATAGATTAAAATGGTAATTGTTTAACAAGAGGTGTATTCTCAATAAGTAATTAAATTATATAAGAAGAAATTATAATAATCAAATTATGTTTTAAAATAGTTTTTAAGAAATGTTAATCAAATCACTGCTTTAAAATCTATCCCAATTTTTAATCAAGCCAAGATGGAAAGGGATGCTTTCTTTTAGATGGATCTCAAGGTTAGGCAGGTATAACTTCTTTGGGATAATGTTTAGCTATTAATACTTCTCCTGCATGCAGGTAACTTATATTTAGCTTAATATGTAGATAATTCATATCTATAAATATAATTTAAAATCTAATAGATGTACAAATAAGACTAATTCAATTTGTTATGATCCTGCCACTTAAACTTGCTAGAATACAATAAATTATGGGTCCATAGGAAAAGGTTGTATTTTAAATAGTTAATGTTATTAATTTTCAATTCAATAATATATTGGAAGAGATTTAGAGCTTTAATGCTTGGTAAATAACTAGATAACGAGCTAAGTAGATATTTGCTTTAATGAAGTTAATGATGTTTGCCTTACCAATAATGATTACCAATAATTTTGTGTATTATATCCACAATCTTAAAAATACTTAGGATATATTTCAGAAAATAAAAGGTGCGCTATATAAGACTAAATTGCATATTAGAACGGTATTCTGGCTAGTAATTATTTTAAATAATGAGTAAAAATTTTAACTAACATTTTTATAAAAGACTTAGTAAACTTAAAAGCCAACTTTTGTTAAGATGTTAATGGGTATATCAGAGCCTTAAATAAAACTCAATATGTTGGAGTAAGTAAGTAAAATTATCAATGTTTAACTGTAAAGTAAACCTCTACTAACAATATTATTTAATGCTATTCTGGGTAATTTCAAATCAAAGAAATAAAATAAAAATTAATTTTAACTTAATAAAATAGATTTTGTTTGAATGTAAATTTTTGTTAAGCATATGATGATACATATATTGGAAAAGCAAGTAATTAAACCTGTCTAAAAGTTGGATAACCTTAAAGTATTGAATGTGCAGTAAATTATTGTATAGAACCAAATACATAAAGTTGTATGCTAATAAATGATAATGATCCAAATTTATCTGTAAAATAAAATACAAAGTTTATAAGAGTAATCATTTTAATAAATTATTTTAGGGTGTTTAAGGAGATTATAAATGTGCAGTTTTAGGTTAATATTATACATGTAACATAATAAATTTTAAAATTAAATGAATAATTTATTTTTTTTAAAAGAAATTTTGTAATGTTCAAGCAAATATTGCATTGATTACTAGGATCCAGATGATCCTACTACTTAACCAGGATGCTTTCTTTGGGATGCATCTATACAAAGAATAGGGATAGATAAAAATGGATATTGCACTTATTAAGACTAACCAAACGCAATCAAGTAATATCTATTTAATAAGTTGAAAATCAACTACAATATATCTAAAAAAAAGATGTATGCCAGGATAGTTTTGCTTAAATACTCTTTTTGGAAATTCATGCCAGTCTCTGTTATTATCATTTGATTAAAATAGGTTTTCAAGAGAAAGAATAACTGGTATATGCCTTCCTTATTTAGATCCAAAATATATATAAGGAGGTGATATTGAAACTTGTGTAGATGGTAGTTGCTTTTATATAGATCAAGTTTAAAAAAAAAATTTCTGTCTTTCTTAAGGTATCTACGCTTTGGGAGATTTCATTGTAGGAATCGACACTTTAGGTTAATGTATAATTAAAAACCAAATAACAAGAGTTTGTAAATTTAAAAAGAATTTATCAGTCAATATTTTAACTTATTTTTAACAAAAAGAAATAAAATCATGTTTAGGCTTGACATATTGTGCTCTTGATATTGGGTAAGTTAAATATAAATATAAAAATTATTTTTGTATTTATTAATAATAATCTTTATAATAAATTGCTTATTTATTTTATTGAATGTAAGAGGGGGGAATTACAAATGTCAAATGCTTCAGTTAAGTGACCCTCAATATCCAAATCTAGCTTACTAAGCAAAAAATGCAAACTAAACTTGTTAAGATCTTAATAAAGGTAATTAAAAAACTTAAACTTTATCTATATAAGATTTAAACTTAAAAAGAAAATAGTATTGGGTGTTTAGACGGTTTATATTGTATCAATCAATAAACTAATAACAAATGCGAAATAATGGACTCTAGCGACTCAAATAAAATAGGCAGAAACTTTTTTAACCATTAATGTCTCCCATAAGGAGCTTAAGTTGCTATAATTTGCCAGTAGTAATATTGTATATCTCTTGGAGCGTGCATACCTTTATCAGATATTAATCCAGGCTAAGAAAATGTAACATAAAGATGTTTATAAGAATAGTAATATGGTTAGAATGGAGCCTCTAATTGTTATAAAAATGGGTAATATTTTTGCAAATATTGTGTTTATAAATAATAAAAGTGGAAATAATAAAATATTTTATATAATAGATACTGCTTATTGACAGACCCCCTAACAAATAAAGCATCTTGTTTCAAATTAGACTTTAGTAATCCAAATGCTATTGGTAAATTATAATAATAATAATAAAAATTTTAGATTTTTATCTTCAAATTAATTATTAAAGGTATATAAAAAGACACTTAATTATGCTTATAGATGGGATAACCTAAAGCAGTAAGTGTTAATTTTACATTCAATTTTTATATATTTATTTATATTCATAATAAAGATAATGTGTGCAGTTGAAAAATATTGTTTAGATCAAGCAACAAATACTTGCTAGTTAATCAATACAAAAAATGGGATGTGTATTGATAAAAATGGCTTTTGTGTATAAAATGGATCCTGTTTTAATTGTGAATTAAATTAATGCTTGTCTCAATCTAATAAAAATACATGTTAAGACCTTTTATAACCATCAATTACGTATTGCAAGGATAGCTAAGGTTGATTTTATTATAGATTATAAAAATGATATTTTCAAATTTAATTAAAAAGCATTAAATTTTAGTAAGTAGATAATTTTTTACCAAATTACCAAATAAAATTTTTTATCTAAATATTTTAATTAATTTATAAAATAACTTTATTTATCTAAAAATTAGGATTTTGTTAAAATCTAGATTCTGGCCTTTGCGATATCTGTCCTGATAATTATTGCTTTATTAATAAATTATGTTTAAATTATAAAAGTTTATTAAAGTTAATAAATAACGGATAGTGTTTTGAACAAATCAAAAAGTTAAAAACCTGTGTAATTTAAAATTTAAATGTACCAAACTAGAATGGAAATATGAATTGTATGAATAATTAAAGCTTTTGTTAAGATATATCAATTAATAATAATGAATGTTTATCTTGTCCTATGTACTTTATAAATCCAGGAGATTAAAAATGTTATAGTTTAGAATAAAAGTTAGAGCATTCACCTGATTCTTAATAAGTATACTTTGGAATGTAGTTGATTTATGTTAAATAAGACTGTTATGATTAAAATTTCTGCCTGGTAAATTAATCTCTCAAGTGTCCATAAGGGTATTATTATTATTATTATTATTTTTAAATTTACATTAAATTTATTATGTTAAATATAATAATTTAAAAATAAATTAGTTGTTATTCATGCAACTCTCTTTCTTTCTGTACTTAATGCATTGAAGGTTATTTTTTATACCAAGAATCGCAAACAAAATCAGTTTGCATAAAATGCTTCAACCAATAACCTCCTAATTAGGATTTAAATTTAAGTCCTTATTATAAATAAATTCCTACTTACTAATGCATAGACTGCTCATCAGAATATTCTTTATGGTATGAGTTAATAACGAAATTTAAAAATAATATTTATTTCAAATTAATTAAAAAGGTAGTAGAGCTAATCTAAATATAAAACATGCTAGAATTACATTTTATAGCTAGATCAAAATTTACAAGTAGTATTTTCAAAGTATTAGACAGTAAACTTCCTAGTATAATCAACATTAGGCTCATATAGCATTACTCAATATTAATCTGTGCTATGTAAATATAAAAAAATAGTAAAATACTAATATCTTTTAAATAATAGGTCCAGAAGGATGCTTTTAATGTATACAAGAATCTAATTCAAAAGCAACTTGTATTAAATGTTAAGTTTAGTATGTATAAAATGGAAACATTTGTGAAAAATGCCCTGATAATTGTAATTACTGTTAATATGCAGCAATTTTAAATGGTAAAGCTGTATTTAAAAGCTAAATAGACATTAATAAAATCAATCAATTTTCGTTTGTAAAAATATGCTTAGAATGTAAACCTAAATACCTTGTTTCATATGATTTATTATCATGTGTTTAATGTGGTTTAAACTGTGATTAATGTTAATATGGTAATATTTATTTAAATATAATAAATTATAACAAAATAATATTTAAATATTTTGTAAAACTTCAAAAAAAATTATTAGTTTTTTAATACTTTTAAGCAAATATAACTTTTTTTAATCTTAAATTTAAAAATTTTCTTAATAATTAATTTTTTTTGAAATGAATGAATTTATTTTAAATAATTTGAATAATTTGTGAAAATCAATTTTTAAAATAATATAGATAATAATGATGAGGTTCTAAATTATAACATAGATTAACTAACTGTCTTATCATACAATTAGTTTAAAACAAAAAAATACATAAAAAAGTGTTTATAATGCCCTAAATAATACTTTGTTTCATTTGATGGTAATATTATATTTTAAATATTTTGTATAAAATTTATTTAAATTAATTAGGTTAGTCTTGTGTGTAATAAACACTAAATTGCGATTATAACAGTTTTAAAATAGTTTAAGATACACAGATTTATGATTTAACAGAAGAGATATGGTTATTTGTAGGTAGTTAATAACAAAATATAAGTATTAACAAAATTTGTAAAAGCTGCTCTTAAGGGTACACATTAGCAAGCGATTAAATAAAATGTGAGTATGGTTGCTAATCATTATCTCAGTAATCGCTATGCAATAATTGTTATACTACTTTATCCTTTGAAGTTTAATGCTAATTTTGTAGTAATGGATAAATATTAAACTAAGTTTTTAATCCCCCCAGATGCTAAGATGATCTTTGTAAAAACAATGTAGATAAATTTATTAAAATTTAAAATAATTTTTCATAACTTATTTTTAAATTAAGATTTTAGGATGCACAGAGTGCTATAAATATTTAGATTCGAGTTTAATGCTAAACAATTAAGTTTATTAATGTACGAAATGCTAAGATCAACTAAGTATTCCATCTATCTATGGTTGTATTAAATGCCCAGAAGGATGCTCCAAATGTTATGAAGGTGAATTTTTAATATTTATTTTCACATAAAATAAATTTTACTATTATTTATTAACAAGGTACAAGTACATTTAACTTCACATCATAATTAATATATAAAAGAGATTCCATCACTATATAAGATAGATTAGATTATAAGAATAAAAACTATAAATTGATATGCACAGGATGCTTAGATGGGTATTACTTCGATTAATAATTCAAAAAATGCATTTTAATTTAATGTGGATAAAACTGCCTAAAATGTATCCTTATAAATAAAAAGCCTTAATGCATTCAGTGCAACTATGATAAATTAATTAATTAAATTTCTTCATTGTAGTATTTTGTTGGTATGTTCTATTATAAATAAAATTAAATATATAATCCATAATAAATGATAACATTAACTTCTTCTGGTGATGATTGCTAAATTTGTCCATTACTGTAATTTTTAATTTTATATTTATTAAATTGATAATTATTTTAAATAAAGTTGCGAAACATGTGTAAACTAAAGCAATGTCAGTAAGAATCCTTTATATATATATGATGCTTAATGTTTATCTTGCAAAAAAACTTTAGATAAGAGCTATATTTTATAAAATTATAGTATAACATATGATAAGTCAAGAAGGAAATGCTACTTATGCTAAAAATCAGAATAGGGTTGCTACTATAAGAAGCAAAAAATAATCTATGCATAATGCTTAGATCTAAGTAGCAGATTAGGTGATGGTTCATAAAAAGAACCAATTAACTTCAATCGTTTAAATGAAGTTAATTTAAACTAATTTATCATAAATGAACTAGAATTTGATCAAGCAGTAATTTTTTATAATGAATTATAAGTTAAAGAGTTGGAGGTTTTATTAATATTTGTTGATAATATTTGTTAAGATCTAAAACCTCAAAACTTTACAATTACTTTAAAGGAGAAATTTAGAACTCTTTCAACTATCTTAAACATAACAACACTTTACTCAAATTTTGCAGTGGATTTCTAGTAATAAGATGTTTTTACTGTATAAGGCTTTGACAAAATATTTATTTAAAATGTAATTTTCTAATAGTAAAAAACTGATAATAAATTTGGGGTAAGTATTAAAGATGATTCTTTAAATACTTTTTAACTTATAAACTGTTAATTCCACTAGAAAGAATTAATACAAAATAAACGTTTATTATTTTTGGATATTTCATCCATTTAGTAAACAAATATAACATTAGAATAAGTAATATTTCAGAATGTTAAGGTGCTAGACTAGTAGCCGTTAATAAATTGCCTTAGCTCTAAATAAAATTCTTAATTATTCCTTAGGATAATCTCAACTACTTTACTTAATGTAAATTTTCATTTCAAATTAATTAATTTTTAAAATTTTTAAATATTTAAAGTTTGTATTAAAGTATATGAAAGTTAAAATTTAATAAATGTAGCCCACACCATCAATCATATCTTAATTTTGAAAAAATAATCCAAAAGGTTAATTTTTTGCTTAAAATATTTTGGAAAATGTTAAAAAATATAAATAATTTTAGTTCTTGATAATTTAAAAGTTTGTATTCAGTAAGTATTTAGAAAAATATTCTTAATTTTAAATTAAATATAGTCAAACTTTTTATATCTTTTTAATCCTTTTCAAAATCAATCTTATTAAGTTGAACTACTAAAAAAAAATACGAAAATTAGCAAAATAAAAATTTAGTAGAAAAGTAAATGAAATGAATGAGTTTCAGATTAAATAATATTTTATGAGTATTACCACAAATTTTTATTAAATAAAAAAATAAATATTAAAATAAATTCACCACCCCCTTCTATAAAACTATTCTTTTTATATTATTTATTTAAGATTTTTTTATTGATAAATTTAAATTTTTTAGGTATAATTTAATTAGTCAAAACTAATTAAAATAGATATGTAATCTATTTAAGTTGAAATGTAAAACTTACTAATTAGATCATCAATTTTTGATTAGGAAACACTACTTATAGATGTTCGATATAATAATTAACCAAATCAAATTATAAATATTTATTTTCAAAATATAACTTTTGAGAATAGCTCCTTTAATCATAGATCTTAAATTCTAAATTCAAATATCTTAAATTATCTATCAATCATTAACTTGACATTTAACTAATGTACATTTTATTAATCATAAAAAGAGCTTATACCTTTAATTATATCTAATTAGTTTAATGTAAGTTAAATTTATATCATATCAAATAAAGTGACTAACTACAACTTTATGCAGCAGGAAGATAGTAGATTGAATATTATAAATTAAACTTCTTATTTTGAATAAATTCACATTTTAGATAACATTGTTAAAATTGATAGTTATTTTTTATTAGATTTTTAGACTGATAAAAACTATAATATAACTTTAAATGGAATAATAATTTAAAGAAATCAATTTTATTCTGAGGTAACTTCAATAATAATCTAACTTATAAAATTAAACACAGTTATAGTAAACAATATTTCTTTAGCAGATAATGATGAATTTTTATTCCTTAAAACTGAAAATATTTTTAATGTGACAATTAGTTAAATAAATTTATAATCAACTGACTAATAGTTTTTGACCCCATAAATTTGCAACTTAAAATAAACTAGCTAGCAAATAAATATTAAAGACATATTCTAATAAGGTATAAAAGTATCCAAAGAATTATTTATCATAGAAAATAATATAATTTAAAAGCAAATTTCTCCTCTTGAAATTACAATAAAAAATGTTATCAGCAATTAAATAATGTTAGTATTCAAAGATAATAACGAAGATATATCTATTTTTTCGATAATTTCTAAGTAAATCAGCAATATATAAATTGAAAATGTATAATTTTCTGGATTTTAAGAAGATATTTTAAATAACAAAGTAATTATTTTGGATATTATAAATTTTAAATTTAAATATTTTTATTTAATAGTCTATTTTAGGAAAAGTATCTTAAGGTTTTTATTTTGATGCCCCTACTGTAGCTGTGAACCTTTATAATTCTAGTTTTAATGAATTAAATGTTAAAAATTAATTTGGTTGGATTAATGGATAAATTCTTTCAATAAATATAAACTATTGTAACTTTACTAATTAATAGAGTTATCTTAACATAAAAACCAGTAGATTAGGTGGGTTTCTGAATATTATAAGTTAAGTACTTCATATCTATAACTCTAAATTTATAAATGGTAATGCACAAATTGGAGGAGCAGTTTATTGGATAGCATAAAATAAAGGTAACTTCTCTTCAATAGATAGCGAATATTTAAGCAACATAGCTTTTAGTAGTGAAGATTTTGAGACTCAAGGAGGAGCAATATTTGTTAATGGGCAATTATCTTAAGGCTTTGATATATATATTTTCAAATCTAATTTTTCTAATAACTTTGCATTTAGCTAAGGAGGGGCTATATAGATCTAACCTTCTTTTTATTTTAAAACTGCCATAACAATTAAAATGAGTCATTTTATTAATAACTTCTCTTTATGCAGAGGTAGTAATATTAACATACAAAATTAATCTAATTCTAAATCTTATATAATTTTGGGTAGTTTAGTTATTACTAGTTAGATTAAATACTTTATTGAAGCAATTGATATCCTTTAAAACATTATTAGTAAATAAGATTGGTTATAAATTAATTTAGTTGATTCTTCATTAATTTACATACAAAAAGCTCATGATGTTGAAATTATAAGTTCGACATTTTAGTTATCAGCAGGCACATCATATGATTTCTAAAACTCTGAGAATCTGAAATTTATTTTTTAAAAAATTTTGATAATTTAAGAAGCTATTAACTTTTATGATGTATAAAATATTTATTAAGATAGCTATTTTTTAAGTAATATGATTACAGCTATAGGCATTTAGTACTTTTATATCTACGATACTTTAATTTAAAACAATAGAAATATCTTAGATAAAATGTATAATTAAAGATAAGATGCATAAAGTGCTGTATTTTATAATAGCCTGAGCAGCTACATTTATAAATTAAATGTAGCTAATAACATATGTTAATATTGTGTTTTTGGGACAATTTAAATAGCAAGTTCAAAATTGCAAATCTTAAATTCTACTTTTTATAGTAATATAGCATATAATGGGCCAGGATTATATTTAGAATAAGCTTAATAATAATTTGCAAGCTCAATTAATGCATAATAAGTATTTTAAGATAATTTAGTAATCATTAATTCAAAATTCATTAATAATAAAGCAAACCTAAATGGAGGAGCCATATACCTAAAATAATCTAGTATGTTTATTTATGAAACTATCTTTGACTAAAATAAAGCTAGCTAATATGGTGGAGCTATTTTTTTAGAAAATGCATAAAATTATATTTTAATAAATTTAATTAGCTTAAGTAGCTGCATATTTACTTAAAACTAAGCAAGTTTTGGAGGAGCATTAGGGTCAACCACAGGATAAAGAGTGAATAGATTTTCAAATAATACATATTAAAATAATAAAGCTTCTTAATATGGGGACAACATTTAAACTTCACCAACAAAATTTAGTGCTTCTATAAATGGAAAACCTTTATCAGACTCAAATATCTTATAAATATAAAATCATTTGGGGGGGTAACTTCAGGTAAAATATTTTCATTACAATATAAATTATCAATCATTTTATATTAAAAATAAAATAAATTAATTTTTTAAAAATACGTAATTATCTTAAATAAAATATTTTTAATATTCAAAGGAAAATATAATTTTAAGATTGTGTAGTGATTAGAATTAAGAAATTTTGAATATTCCTAAATACAGCTTTCTTTAAATAACTATTTTAGAAGGAAATGGTTACTTAAGTTAGAATAAAATTTATAGTTCAAATGGTGAATTTAATTTAACTCAGTAAATTAAAGTTTATGGAAATTTCAATTAATAACTAAAGCTCTAAATTACAAGCGATTTAATTAAAGTTCCCATATTGAATCCAAGCTAATACATAATTGGTTATAATAATTATTCATTAATTATTGTTATAGATATGGCTCAAAGTTGCTTAATTGGCTAGATACCTATAAAATTTTAATAAAAATATGATTAATGTTAAGACTGTAAAGATACTTAATATAGCTTTAGTATATCAAATTAATGTTAATCATGCCCTCATTCATTAGTTAAATGTTTTAGAAATTATATCTTTTTACCTTCAAATTTATGGAGAGTTAATCAACAATCAATAGTTTTATACCCATGTAAAAATTGTATAGGTGACATTCAAATAAGTTAACTCATATAAACTGGCTAACTTTCTCCTAAGCACAATGATATGAATTACTATTGCAAATAAGGTAATTTATTTCACTTATTAACTTATTTTTATTTTTGTATGTAAATTAGGATATTTAGGAGCACTTTGCGAAGATTGCGATAGAACTGGAAAATATTGGGGTGAAGCTTACTTCATGAAATTGGACTAAAAATGTTCAAGGTAATAAATAATTTTGATGAATATTTTTTATTTTTAACAAAACCGTTTTAAATTTTAATAGATGCAGTGACATAAGATTTACAGAAGTCATTTATCCTTTGATAATATCAATCCTTGCATTTATTATATCAATCTATTTATCTTAAAGATTGAAGTATTAAGTTAACTTGAAGATAATGACAAAAGTGGTTTACTTATTACGATATAAAAAATTTTATGGCTACGATGCCTCAAATGTGTTTAGTGTAATCAAAGTTTTGATCTTTTAGTCATCTTTAATCGGAATAATGTTTTTTTATGATTCTAATATCCCAAAATTTGTGTCTTAACTATTTATTGATATTGGTAATCTTTTTAGTGATAGATTAAAGATTTCTGAGTGCTTTTTAATTTAGATTCTGCAAGAAATTAGTATAATTTTTAAAAGTATTTACTTCTTATTAGTGATACATATTTTAAATATGTTTTGCTTGGTGCTTTGTTATATCTTTATCTTGAAAAAATTTAACTCTCAAAAATATTTAAATGACATAATACTTTCTACAAGTATATTTGTCTACTATTCAATAAATGCAATATTCTCCAAAATCTTTAGATCTGTAAGTTTTTATTTAAATTAAAGTAAAATAAATATTTTAAAACTCTTTTTTTAAAGTTAAATTGCTAGGTGTTTGACAACTAACTTTTTGTAACTGAGTATTTATCTATTTAATGTAATGAATTATAAAATAATAGTGCATATAACTTGATAGCCTTAGCATTAGTAGTTATAGCTTTACTAATATTTTATGGATATTTTGTGCTTAAAATCTACTAAAGGAGATTTATATTAAAAACTTATCAAAATTAGATTTTGTTTGGATTCTTTACATATGAATATAGATAAGAGTATTAATTATGGGATTTAGTCAGGCTAATTTATAAAATCTTTCTTTTCTTTATCATGCAAATTTCATATTTACCTACTCAATTGTAGATAGCAATGTCAATCCTCGTGTCATTAACATACACTCTGCTAACTTAGAAGTGTAATTATTTTAAATATCTTTAATTCAGATTATTTTTAAAACTCATTTTAAATATCCAAAGCAAGAATTAATTTTAAATATTCATTAATATGTAAAATTACAATTTTTGATTATTTTCCTAAATTATAAATATAATTTTTTTTTAATGAGTATAAATTATTTAAAATAAAATTTTTTTCAACATTTAAATAGTTTCTCCTTATATCAATAAGAAATTAAATGTTTTGGATTTTAGAATATCATGCCTGACTACAATATGTTTTTGTTTAAATTCGATATAATTCAGATTGAATTAGAAAGAGCTTCAATTTACATATACTATAGCTCTTGTTTGCCTAGTATTACTAACTATAGTTATAACATTTTCATACCTATATTTTAAGTATAAGCCAAAATTGTTGAAAATTATACAATTAATCCAATACAAATCATCAAAATTTAAATTAATATTTAAGTTATTTAAGATTGATAAGTACGTAGAAAGAAATCTGAAAACTTAAATACAATGGGAAAAATTAAGAAAAAAACTTTCTAATATGAAATTTATTAATTTTAAATAAAATTTTGAGAGTAAAGATGCTGAAAATAAATTAATATAATTTTATTATCATGTAAAGATTTGAAGAATAAATTTTGTATTGTTTTTAATTTTGTTTTATTTGATGAAAATAAATATGTAAATAAAATATTTAAATTAATTTAGCTTTATTTTTAGAATTTATAAGTTAAAATTGACAGCTTTGACTCTATAAAATCAAAGCTTAAAAATAACTATTTGTTTTTATTTGATTAAAGCATAAAAACAAATCTTATTTTAATATTCTTAAACCAGTTTTTAATAAATTTAATTTAATGTAATGTAATAGATCGCAATTATAACCCAGCCCAACTTTTATGTATTCGTAACAACTAGCTTTTTTGAATTTATTTTATTTGCCTAATTATATCTCATACTGGAATTAAGTTCTTGCATATCCGGTATATAGCAAGAACATAATACCTGAAAGCAATTTTTTATAATAAATAAATTCAAAAGCATATATTTTTTAATGAAGAAATTATTATTAAAGAAATACATTTTTTAATTTTATTTATAAACTAGAAAAATTAATTTTCATTACCTAAAGTTTCATGAAAAAAAAATTATTTAAAGAAATAATTATCATTGGTAGAAATATTTTATAAAAATAATTTATATGGTCTACAAATCTAGAATTTAAATTACTTTTTTAATTTCAAAAAGTCTATTAATGAAAAAAAATATATTTAGAATCTGGCTTACAGTATTTTTAATTAAAACTAGCTTTACTTGAGTTAAGCAAATAAATAATATTTTGTTTCTTTAGTTAGTTTTATGATTTATTTAACTACTTATGACTATATTTTAATAATTTCAAAAACTTAACAAAATAATCAAATATCTATGAAACTCTACTTATTAACAATACTATTAAGCTAATATTTATCCTTAATTATATGTAGTTGCAATTAAGAAAATTAATGTTTTGACCAAAAATAGTAAAAATGTAAGTTGGTTGATGGTAAAGAACATATTGGAAAAGAAAAGCGTTATGGATATTGTGTAATTGATGCTATCAAATACGAATTTATTGACTTTTGTAAAAGTGATTATGAACCTGTTTGTATATCTTAAGATAGAAAAAGCTGTATAAAAGTTTAAAATAGCGATCACATAGTAGCTATATTATATTCAGGAAATCTCTGTTCAGGTGTGAATGAATTTACATCTAATTTTAATTCACCACAAAGTAAAATTGCCATTTACCTATTTTTATTGAGCTGCATAATCACTAAATAATTCTTTTTATATAAATAGAATTGAAATATATTAAACAGGGTTTTTGTTAGGATTTTAATGGTCGAATTAAATTAGGTCAAGCAGTATAAAGTGCATCATAATAATTTTTATGCAATAATTTAGAAGGTGGACAATTTAATAAGTGCAGATAAAAGTAAAATTAACTTTTAATAAATAATTTCTTGTATTTCTTAATTAAGAATTAATCAAAATAGAAAATCTTGCTATTTGGTGGGTAAAAATAAATGCTTAAATCTAAATGAAGTAGATGTAATTAAATTAATTTGATGTCACTTTTCTTAATATTTTGATTTATTAAACAGGGAATTACTTCTGATGGATTTTGCGTCTTTTAAAATGAACTGTATTTTGACAAAATTTATTGCAATGAAAGCTTATGCCAAATAAAAAACTCATAAGAATAGTATTCTTGTATAAGTTATTCTAATTCTGACATAGCTGTAATTTTGAATTATTTTTTCAATCATGATATTTTTAAAATATAACAATCTTTAAAATAAGGGAAAGACTGGTGATAATTACTGCATTTATCAAGGATAATATTTTCCAAAAGAAACTTTGATAAATTGCAAGTAATAATATTGTATTTTTTAAGATGATGAATAAAAAAGTTGTTTGAAGATTGATAGAACAAATAATCCTTAGATATATGTATGGATTTTTTAATATTTAATATACAATTTAGCTTGTATTTATACTAAATAGGGAGTCAGCGAAGAAGGATTTTGTCTAATTTAGATCAAAAAGAAAAAAATTTCTTTTATTTTATAATAAAATACTTGCCCTTAATCGTAGATGCATTTAATTTCAATAAAAAACACTAATTTAATCCCACAAATTAATTAAAATCTTATAGGTATTGCTATTTTCAAGACTCTTGTGTTTAATTGTCTTCTTAAAATCCTGCTAAATTAAATGATAGCACATGTGCGTCATTAAATACATAAAACTCAGTTCAATGTTTTACATAACTTCCTGCTTGCTTATCTTCAAGCTCTACATGCTTGGAAGTGTCAAGCTCAAGCCCTAACTCTGTTGTATAAACAAAAATATATATAGAATGAGTACATAAATAATAAAAAATTGATAATAATTTAATTTTAGGGTTTAAGGACAAATGGAGAGTGTGCTGTTGCAAATTAATATTATAGTGGTACTACTTTTTACTCATTAAATTTATACTACTCTTATATTTAAGATAATTTTATTTATATTAATTATAACAGATTTGTAATCATGTAGTTAAGATTATTGCATTAAATAATCATCTGGAAAAAAAGGGTGTTTCGTTTTAGACGGATCTGAGAATGCAATTGGAATTGACTAAAGTGGCAATTGTGTTGATTCTAAAACAGTTGCGATTAGGTAAAAGAATTTAATTATTTTTTTATTTTTTCAAGAATATTTATCTTTGAACGCTTTAAATTTAGATAAATAGAAATATTTATATAAAAATATTAAATTTAATTTATCTTAATATTTTATTTAAGTTCCTAGATTTAAAAGCCTATAATAATATTTTAATTAAAACCTTAAAAGCATATTTAAACAATTCTATTTTTACAAAAAATCTAAATAATAAAATTAATTAAAGAACCTTCCTTTCTTTACTTTTATCAAAATCTTTTAGAAAAATTTTAACTTACACTTTTTTAAGAGGGGTTAAAGTTTTTCTTTGCATACATTTTTGATTCTTTAATTATGTTACACTTAATAAAATTTATTAAATTTATAATAGTTGTTTTGATTCAGATGATATTTGTAAGGATAGCCAAACCTCGAAATGCACTAAAATTAATTCAAATTCTACATTCAGCAATATTTGTATTTTAAATGGAATTTGCTATTAAATGTCATATAACTAATATGTTGGTAGAGATACATAGTATTAGTGCTTAAAAAATTAATAGGAAAGTGATTAAAAAATACTAAATTGCTATAGCAATACTTATTAGATATGTAAAAGAAGTGATCTTTTGGCATGTATAAACTATACAAGTGATTCTACATATTTAGGATATATTTCTAGTACAGGAATTTGTGCATAATTTGGTGTTCAAATATCAACAAGTGGATTTCAAAGTAAATTTATTGATACTCAATTTAAAATTAAATCACATTTAAAATAAGGTATTACCAACTTGAATCCAAACTATTGCTAAGATGATTCATACAAAATCTAGCTTATAGTTCCTGTATATGCAGGAAGAGATTAGTTATATTCAAGGTGCTTAAAACCTGATTAAACATAATACCAAAAGGTTGAATTGTGTGCAAAAGAGTAAAATAATTATTGCATGAAAATTAAGTTAATTACTTAAATTTACTTAGTTACTGTATAGCAAATAGTAGTTGCAAAATGATTGGATTTGATGGAGTATTAATAGCTAAATTATCAAACGGTTAGTGTGCTTAAGCATAACAGTCTTAATCTGTATAATGTGCCTTTAAAAATTACAATTACTGTTTACTAAATTAAACATGCAATTTATTATCTAGTTCAAATCAAAGTTTTTCGGTATAAATAAAATTTACCTTTAAAATAAAACTAATTTTTATTTATTAAAAAGGGAATTGATAGCTATGGAAACTGTTTATCTAGGAATTAAAGTGTTTTTTCTTCAAGTAGGATTCATTTAATTAATTACATTCCTATCATTTTTTATTTATTTTTTAGGTTTATTCAAGTGTGCAGATAATCATTGCAAGTATTCAACTGGTTTTGAAAAATAAGGATGTTATCTTTTAGATGGTTCAGTAGGATTAGCTGGATCGGATTCATCATAAATTTGCTTAGATTATAATAAAAAATAAGCTACCTAGTAAATTTTAAAATATTTTTAAAAACGGAGGAGTGAAATGTTTAAAGTGTTCAAATTTTTTTAATTTTAAACTTATTTTGAATGTCGTTTTTTTCCCTTTAATTTTAAATTTAATTTAAATGAAACCCTTCCTCACTTCATATTTTTATTTATAATTTAATCATAAATGAAAATTTTTAAAATGATACTTTAATTATTTTTTATCAAACACTTAGATGTGCTTAATAACCAATCGTTTGTTTTGATAGTAATACATAAACATGTTAATAAACTGTAAATTATGGATCAGTTGGTAATGGATGCTCTTTAAATGGTTAATGTTTCTAAATGTCACCTTAATTTTATGTTGGTAGAGATACTAATAATTAGTGCTTTAAAATAAATAACACTCCTTTAAGTGGTACTGTTGATAAGTGTTTTAATGATCCATAAACTATTTGTTTAACAAGTGACAAGAAATAATGTATCATATATACTAACTCCTCATAATATTTAGGGTATATTTAAAGTACTGGAATTTGCGCTTAAAATGGTTAAAAAACTTCTAATTAGGCTCTTTAAAGTAAATATATATTTTATAGTTAGTTTAAAAAGTCCAATATTTTAAAAATTAAAAATTAGTTATTGTTAATTTAGACAAAGGCTATTGCTAAGATAATTAATTTAGAATTTAATAATTATTACCTCCATATGTTGGAAGAGATTCAGTAAACTAATTATGCCTCTAATAATCAACGCAGTCTTCATAAATTGAGTTTTGTGTTTAAGGGTAAGTTTACATTTTAAGAAATATAATAAATTTATTTTTTTAATGAATAGATATTGTGTTGCAAATAATAAATGCTAACCTGTTGGTTTTGATAAAAAACTTATTGCAAAACTTTCAAATTAACAATGTGGCTTAGATTAAATACCCACAGCAATAGAATGTGCTTTTTAAAGTTTGGATGTATGTATGCTAAATTAGAAATGTTTTTGGCTATCAGCTTAGAATGTTCTATATTCAGTATATTTTTTTATTTATAATTATTTATTTTTAAAATAAACTTTAAAAAAGGGATAAGATATTAGTGGAAACTGCGTGAAAAGAGGCTAACTCACATAAAGTAATATAGATTACATATTTAATTTTAATAAAATTATTCTAATGAAAGGTTTGAGAAAATGTTAATAAGATCATTGCAAGACAATTAGTTCAGACAATTATATTGCCTGTTTATATTTAGATGGGTCAACAAATTAAGTTGGAATAGCAGCAAATGGGTTGTGTTTAGATATAAACTAAGCTCCAGCAATAAGGTATAAATTATTTGAATAAGAATATTTAGTTACTTTTAATATTTTTTGAAAAATTTAAATAAATTTATTTTATCATTAATATATGAAAATAGATGTACTGATTAGGTTAATTATATATGCTATGATACGAACTCATAAACATGCATCTAAATAAATACATCATCTACAAATAATTATTGCAAATATTAAGGAACTTGCTATTAACTGAATTTGAATTAGTATGTTGGTAGAGATACAAATTTTAACTGTTTAACTTCAGGAAAAACGCCAACCACAGGATTAGTTTAGAATTGTTTATATGATCCTTAAAACATATGTTAAAAAAGTGATTAATCATAATGCATATATTATACTAACAAATAATGGAAAAATACCTATTTAGGTTTTATAAATTCATCTGGTTATTGTGCATAAGAAGACTAAGCAACTTCTTCTTTATAATTTGAAAGTAAATTTGAAATAATTATTTTAATGATAAATCTTTTTATAATAATAAAAATTTAGTTATCACTAATTTGGATAGTAATTATTGTTAAGATGATAGCTTTTTCATTAGAAAGATTTAAACTTCTTATGGTGGTAGAGAAGTATAATATTAAAGGTGTCTAAAAGCTTTTAATTTACCAATTTCCTAAATAGATTTTTGCTCTAAAGGGTAAAAACTTTTATTTTTGTTTTGGAATCTTTAAGCTTTTTTAGTTATTGCATTTAGAGTAATGAATGCAAGCAAATAGGTTTTGACGGTAAACTAATATCAAAACTATAGAATGGATAATGTGCTATTGATCGATAATACCCTGCTGTTGAGTGTGCATATAATACTTTAGATACATGTTTATATAATAATATGTGCTATTGGTTAACTGAATAAGACGCTTTTGCATCAGTAAAATTATTTATTAATTATATTAATACTTACAAAATTAAATTAGGGAATAGATTAAAATGGTAATTGTTTAACAAGAGGTGTATTCTCAATAAGTAATTAAATTATATAAGAAGAAATTATAATAATCAAATTATGTTTTAAAATAGTTTTTAAGAAATGTTAATCAAATCACTGCTTTAAAATCTATCCCAATTTTTAATCAAGCCAAGATGGAAAGGGATGCTTTCTTTTAGATGGATCTCAAGGTTAGGCAGGTATAACTTCTTTGGGATAATGTTTAGCTATTAATACTTCTCCTGCATGCAGGTAACATTATATATTTAGCTTAATATGTAGATAATTCATATCTATAAATATTATTTAAAATCTAATAGATGTACAAATAAGACTAATTCAATTTGTTATGATCCTGCCACTTAAACTTGCTAGAATACAATAAATTATGGGTCCATAGGAAAAGGTTGTATTTTAAATAGTTAATGTTATTAATTTTCAATTCAATAATATATTGGAAGAGATTTAGAGCTTTAATGCTTGGTAAATAACTAGATAACGAGCTAAGTAGATATTTGCTTTAATGAAGTTAATGATGTTTGCCTTACCAATAATGATTACCAATAATTTTGTGTATTATATCCACAATCTTAAAAATACTTAGGATATATTTCAGAAAATAAAAGGTGCGCTATATAAGACTAAATTGCATATTAGAACGGTATTCTGGCTAGTAATTATTTTAAATAATGAGTAAAAATTTTAACTAACATTTTTATAAAAGACTTAGTAAACTTAAAAGCCAACTTTTGTTAAGATGTTAATGGGTATATCAGAGCCTTAAATAAAACTCAATATGTTGGAGTAAGTAAGTAAAATTATCAATGTTTAACTGTAAAGTAAACCTCTACTAACAATATTATTTAATGCTATTCTGGGTAATTTCAAATCAAAGAAATAAAATAAAAATTAATTTTAACTTAATAAAATAGATTTTGTTTGAATGTAAATTTTTGTTAAGCATATGATGATACATATATTGGAAAAGCAAGTAATTAAACCTGTCTAAAAGTTGGATAACCTTAAAGTATTGAATGTGCAGTAAATTATTGTATAGAACCAAATACATAAAGTTGTATGCTAATAAATGATAATGATCCAAATTTATCTGTAAAATAAAATACAAAGTTTATAAGAGTAATCATTTTAATAAATTATTTTAGGGTGTTTAAGGAGATTATAAATGTGCAGTTTTAGGTTAATATTATACATGTAACATAATAAATTTTAAAATTAAATGAATAATTTATTTTTTTTAAAAGAAATTTTGTAATGTTCAAGCAAATATTGCATTGATTACTAGGATCCAGATGATCCTACTACTTAACCAGGATGCTTTCTTTGGGATGCATCTATACAAAGAATAGGGATAGATAAAAATGGATATTGCACTTATTAAGACTAACCAAACGCAATCAAGTAATATCTATTTAATAAGTTGAAAATCAACTACAATATATCTAAAAAAAAGATGTATGCCAGGATAGTTTTGCTTAAATACTCTTTTTGGAAATTCATGCCAGTCTCTGTTATTATCTTTTGATTAAAATAGATTTTCAAGAGAAAGAATAACTGGTATATGCCTTCCTTATTTAGATCCAAAATATATATAAGGAGGTGATATTGAAACTTGTGTAGATGGTAGTTGCTTTTATATAGATCAAGTTTAAAAAAAAAATTTCTGTCTTTCTTAGGGTATCTATGCTTTGGGAGATTTTATTGTTGGAATCGACACTTTAGGCTAGTGTTTAATTAAAAACCAAATAACGAGAGTTTGTAAATTAAAAGAAATTATCAGTCATTATTTTAACTTATTTTTATCAAAAAGAAATAAAATCATGTTTAGGCTTGACATATTGTGCTCTTGATATTGGGTAAGTTAAATATAAATATAAAAATTATTTTTACATTTATTAATAATAATCTTTATAATAAATTGCTTATTTATTTTATTGAATGTAAGAGGGGGGAATTACAAATGT